ATTCTGTACAGAATAAACACAGGCTTGTCACACTTATCTTTAAAGCACATAAAAGATTAAAAAGTATGTCGAATGTCGAGGCTCTCCATCTCACCTGCAGTCCTGCACTTCACCCATTGTTTCCTTTTCTTCACTATTCATGACGCTGACGCATTTTGGGCTCATTTATCAATGTAGACTTTGGGCAAGTTTGGAATTGCTCTAGTTTGCTGTGCAACCTAGTAGATACAGCCTTACATGGACTTTTGCAAAACTTTTGTAATGCATTACTCTTGTGGCTCTTAAGGAAAATTATATCAATTAGTTGATATGGCACACAGTAGTAAAATAGAATTGCCTCAATAACACTTCTGATGACAGGCACTTCCTACAGTGCTGGTTAGAGGCTGGCCAGAGTAGATTGCTTGCACTGGAATATCTGACTTTTTTCCAAAAGATGCATAAAAGTAACCCCATGTAGGTCCTGGCAATATCCCTTGAACAGGATCATCATGTCCTGTCCAATCTGGCTCACAAGCCCAGTAGATTGTCATGGAAAAGGTTATTACATATTCAAGCTTGAGTATGGTTGCACAGGACCTGAAAACTGAAAGTAGATAAGAGTTGATTTATTCCCCTCTCATGGTCTCACCTCCCAAGTTTGATTATTGTGCCTTTAATAATTTATTTTTAATGATAAAGCAACTCCATTGGTCCCCCCCTTAGCTTTTGCATAAAGTCACATAGCTGGAAAAATTCTTCTCTAAGATGGTGTGATATTGGACCTTTACGTAATAGATCTTATTTTTGTCATGCTTCTAGGAAGCATCTAATGTTTTGTCATTGCTGCAGATTCAAGTAGGTAATTCTCCAGAATATATAACTGACAGGAAATTAGGTAAAGGTGGTTTTGGTCAAGTTTATGTTGGTAGAAGGGTATCTGGTGGAACTAATCGTACTGGTCCTGATGCATATGAGGTTTGCTCTCTAAATAGAATATATTTTGCTGTAAATATATCCTTTTCACATTAATACAATCTAAAAATGACCCTATGTAGGTTGCATTGAAGCTTGAGCATCGAAACAGTAAAGGGTGCAATTATGGTGCCCCCTATGAGTGGCAAGTTTACCAGTATGTACTTAATACAGTCATCTTTCATTTGTACCAGATTATTCTCTGCTCTTTGAGTTTACTGATTATTACCTTTCCTACTAGTAATCTTAATGGCTGCTATGGCATACCAGCTGTCCACTACAAGGGTCGTCAGGGCGACTACTATATTCTTGTGAGTTTACTGAAGTTAATAACCATTCTATGCTGCCATGGAGCTCAACGTATCTTGACTTAATCTTAATTAAAATTTTCCAGGTCATGGATATGCTTGGTCCCAGCCTTTGGGATGTGTGGAATTCATTAGGGCAGACGTAAGCACCTAGATTTATCCCATTCATTGCTGTTGCCTCGTGTTCCTCATCATTTGTGTTTATGTATTAAAAGTAATAACATCATTAACAGGATGTCTCCACATATGGGTGCTTGCATTGCTGTAGAGGCCATTTCAATTCTTGAGAAGCTCCATTCTAAAGGGTAACTTATTATCTTTGTTCTTTATCAGGTTATCCTTAGATGCACCATTCTTAATTTATGTTTGTAGGTTTGTGCATGGTGATGTGAAACCAGAGAACTTTCTGCTTGGCCAGCCTGGATCACCTGACGAGAAGAAGCTTTATCTTATTGATCTTGGTTTAGGTAAGCTATTAATAGTTTGTTTCATTTCACCACATTTTCATGGCATACACTAGGACTAAAATCTTATGCTTTATACACTTGTATTTCCAATTGTTGTTGCCCCTATTAGTTTTCAAGTATTTTTTGTATGATATGGCATTGTCCAAATTGTACAGCATCGAAATGGAGGGAGTCATCAGGGCAACATGTTGATTATGACCAAAGGCCTGATATCTTTAGGTTGGCAATATTCTCTCTGTACCTGCTATCTGTCTCTCATATAGTGCTTTTTACTTATTTTTATCTTCGTTTTTTTTCAGGGGTACAATTAGATATGCCAGTGTCCATGCCCATTTAGGCCGTACTGGTAGTAGGAGGGATGATTTAGAGTCATTGGCGTACACCCTTATATTTCTAATAAGAGGAAGATTGCCTTGGCAAGGTTACCAGGTATATTTTAATATGCCTATTAACTTCATGATACCAACTTCAGTTCAGATTAGCCAATTCTAATGTTGCTTGCTTAATTATGCAGGGTGATACCAAGAGTTTCCTTGTTTGCAAGAAGAAAATGGCTACTTCTCCGGAGATGCTAAGCTGTTTCTGTCCACCTCCATTCAAACAGTTTCTTGAAGTTGTCACAAATATGAAATTTGATGAAGAGCCAAATTACGCCAAACTGATTTCTCTCTTTGATAGTTTGATTGAGGTACCTGCCTCAAGACCTATCAGAATTGATGGCGCTCTTAAGGTCTGTACCACCCACCATTTTACTCACTTCCATATTTTGTTTAGGTCTGCTCCATATCTGTCCATGAACCCTTCTCTTAAATTATAGGTTGGGCAGAAACGTGGAAGAAACCATGAAGAAGATGAGCAACCCAAGAAGAAAGTTAGATTAGGTAGCCCAGCAGCTCAATGGATTTCTGTTTATAACGCCAGGCGGGCCATGAAGCAAAGGTAATTACATCAAAGAACTAGATGATATAAAGCATGATCGACCTGCATTTGTTTAGTCTAGGTACTTGCTTTTCTTGGATGCAAACAATAGTAATTTGAAAACACAAGTTACTGCCTTGTCTGTGATAAATTAAATATTTCATTTAATTTTTTTTGAATTGTCAAATCAAACTCGACATTTTCTTAAAAAGACAGTTTTGGGTACCTGACAGACCATTTAATTTTAATTCAAGATAATAATCCATTGCACATTGTTCATGTTAAATTTGGATCACATGTCATGTTACTCCTGCTCCATGAGTCCAGACAAACTACTTTTTAAACATGCACCGTTTCAGGCCCAATACAGATGATCTTGATTGCTACTAACTATTTATTAATTGTCACATCTGAATTTTGATAGCCCAAAACCTAGCATGATACATTTAACTCTGGTGCGCTGATTAGAACATTCTAAAAGTGACCTGAGTCCTGGAATCATTTGAGTGCAGCATATATAGTTGTAAATCTAAAAAGCTAAATAACTCTTCACTAACTAGACAGCACGTGCCTGATATTAATACAGCTTGTAAGTGCTAGTGATCATGGGTTTTAGTTTGCGCTTGTTTCTTTTTTCTTTCAAAATTTACAATGTCATCTTGTTGTGATTCTCTGTGCATGCCTTTCTCTTGAACAGGTCTTGAAATTTGGTTGATGAATCATTATCACTCTTTTATGGTGTGACAATATTGTTGCTACAAGGAAATTAATACCAAGTTATGCTACTTCTTTGTTAGGTACCACTATAACGTGGCTGACAACAGGCTTCAGCAGCATATAGAGAAGGGTAATGAAGATGGTCTATACATTAGTTGTGTGGCGTCTTCAGCAAATCTTTGGGCCCTCATAATGGATGCAGGAACTGGTTTCCTTTCTCAAGTTCATGAGCTCTCACCAGTTTTTCTGCATAAGGTAAAGTACAATCTGTTGAGGTGTGATAATTAGTACTTGGATTATTTGTTTGCTGAGAGTCCTAACTCTGTTTCAATTATACATAGGACTGGATAATGGATCAGTGGGAGAAGAATTTCTACATAACAGCAATAGCTGGATCAGCTAACGGAAGTTCTTTAGTTGTGATGTCCAAAGGTCTGGGATGTGTTTCTTATTAGTCATTTTATATCCCGACCATTCTTCTTTGACGATGAATTATCCATATGTTTCATATGGACTTAATCATTTTGTTGCTCCCCATGAGTTAACCTGGCTTAGTTGTGATCACCTATAGTTTGATATGTCCATTATTGCAGGAACACCTTACTCCCAACAGTCATACAAGGTTAGTGAGTCATTCCCCTTCAAGTGGATCAATAAAAAGTGGAAAGAAGGTTTTCATGTGACATCTATGGCCACCGCTGGAAATCGCTGGGGTGTAGTTATGTCAAGGAACTCAGGTTACTCTGAACAGGTTAGAATAATTGCTTGACCTAGTTCATATTCAGTCCACAAATTTGGCAATTTATATTCCTGTGAGCATTCCATTATTTACTGTAGAATATATCTACTTATGAAGCTAACCTTTTTCTCATGCCCTTTTTAGGTTGTAGAATTGGATTTCCTATATCCAAGTGAAGGCATCCATCGGCGATGGGAGACTGGTTACAGAATAACCTCAATAGCAGCAACAAATGACCAGGCTGCTTTTATCTTGAGCATACCGAAACGGAAGCCAGTAGACGAGACACAAGAAACTCTCCGGACCTCTGCCTTCCCCAGTAATCATGTCAAGGTATATACATTATCGCAGCTCATTGAAATCCGGCCGTGTCTTGTAAAAAACAAACATAATTTCTCGCGTTTCGGAGTTCAGTAACATAGCCGGTGTGCTGTTCGCAGGATAAATGGGCGAAAAATCTGTACATAGCATCGATCTGCTTCGGGCGAACCGTCTGTTGACGGTGTGGCTGGCTGGCTGCCTTCCATTGAAGTTGAAGCGATTGCCATTCGAGAGATGAGGAGATCTGGAGATGGAAGAGGATTCGCATGATCATTGGGCTAGGGAGCATTAGAAGTTTCGGTATTTTGCAACTGTAAAGAAATGTTGTATTACCGGATGCCGGCCTTGTGGGCCTTTTTCCATAAAAGAAGCTAACACATTCTTGCATGTTGAAATCGATATCTCTGCATTTTTATCATACGTTCTCCCGATGTTTCTTTTCCATAAAAGAAGCTAACACAGGAAGAACATGTTGACCTTTGTATCTTTCAAAATTCTCTCTGCCCGGTATTAAAAAGAAACAAACAAAAATCTCTGTCCGATCTATTTTCAAAATTCTCTCTGCCCGATATTAAAAAGAAACAAAAAATAATCTCTATCCGATCTATCTCAAATTTAATTTTGAATATGCGTCAAATTTAAGCAATTTTTCACAGCAACTCAAATTTTAACTTCTTCTCGTGACGGAGGGATGCCGACTCACCGTGCACCGGGCCCAGCTGTCAGAGAGCGACCTGCGTCTCCTTCCTCTGGCTATAGTTTGAACTGCGTCGCCCAGTTCAAATGCCGGCGGTGAGTAGAAACGTAACAAACTTTTCACCCCACCCTGACCCCACCCGCCACGCCACCCCACCCCACGCAGAGAAGCCCTCGCCACCGCGCGCGTGGCGCCTCGCCTACCAAGTGCTCGACCAAAGTTCCGCTCCGCCTCCCGCCGAGCCACGCCACGCCACGCCGAGAAGCGAGAAGCCGAAGAGTAGCTACTCGACACCGGGCGCGCGCTCGCTTGCTCCTGCTTGCGTCGCCTCGCCACCGCGACGCGACGCCGCGCCTCGCCACCGCGCGGACACATCGCTCGCTCTCTCGCTCCAACCACTACCGCGGATGATGGAGGCTTTCCAGGGGGTGGACTTCGCAGCGCTGCGCGTTTGGCAGTGCGACTCGTACCTCCACGCCGACGAGGACGGGCGGTCCGTCTACCACCGCCGGCTCGGCGGCTGCGGCGGCGGCGTCGCGTTGCAGCACAACGCTGTGTGGGCCGTTTGACGAGCTCGTCGTCGGGGAGCCGCCCACGCGGTACGTTCTCCTCCGCGGTGCCTACGGCCGCTACCTCGGGACTCTCGACCCCGGCGACCGTGAGCGCGGTGCCAGCTGGAGGTCGGCGCCATCATGTGGCGGGCCACCGGCTGCTCTAGCGTCGTGAGTCACGGTGCCCGCGGGCGTCGTTCTTCTGCTGGACAGGTCCGGGCGCTATCTGCGCGGCAACAAAAACTTTCTGGCTCGCCGCCGCAGCGTATCCGTCGACGACAACGTTGACAAGGAAACAACGTGTTGCGGTGGGAGGTGGTGCCCGTCGACAGGCTGGAGCTACCGATCATGGCCGATGTACGTGAGCTTCGTCTCCTCATCCCCTCGTAATTTTTGTGTTTGTTCTCTGTTGCAAATGCTGATTGGGTCGGAGATTAATCTTAGATTTCTTGCGAGAACTAATCATATGTGAACTAATCAAATTCATTCCGCTACTGTGCAGTGCAACTTGACTAGCTCGTGCTCGCTGTATCGGGAGATCCGGTTCGTGACGGCCGAAGACGCCGCAGCCGCTGACGCTGGCCAAGTACACTAGGAGTCATGTCAGTTCGCCGGGAGGTCAGTGCAGCTCCTGAGAGAGAAGCTTGCGGGCATTGTGGGCTACGATGAGTTTATGCTGTGCGTCCGCACCGGCCTCCATGGGCGGCTCACCCCTCTGCTCATCAACCTGCCTCGCAGTCAGGAGACCCTACATATCGTCCTTATTAGGACCAACACCACAGGTAATAATCAGACTAATTTGATATGCATGTTGCTGCTGAATACTCTGAATATTGTTTCTAAATGTCCTGCGTAACTTGAGATTATTGATAATGCCGTAGATGTTCTGAATTCTGAATTTCTGATAGGGGATGACAGTGACTGAATTTCCTGAAGCATTTAGGGTGTCTCTGTCTTTTTATTGGGGAATTTTGACGCTGCCCAGTTTGTAGATGTGGAATCTAGTTAGTTAGAGGTATTTTACTTGTTCGGATGACCAATTGTTACACCAGTTAGAACACAAGTGAGTTCTTGAAATTTTAAACTACATCAATGAGTCTTGGGTAGTTCACTAAATGAAGACTGCTTGACATTTTTTTGTGGCCATGTTTGCTAGAATATTGACAATCCTGTGAGCAATGTTCTGCTTTTCGGGTCCCTTTTGTCCTTTCAATAATGTAGATTTTGTAGTTTACAGTACCATAAATTGTTCAGTACTGTTCAATTAAGCAATTATATGCATGTTGCTGAATATTGTTTATGTACTCTTGAATTTTGCTGCAAAAAGAACATATGACATGCATCACTAGAAATTGACTAGAGATTATTAACAATCCAGTGGGCAATGCACATGTTTCTGTTTTTCAGCACCATAGTTTTCAGCAATGTGTATTATCTTTTTTGTCCGTGTTGAATTTGTGGAAAAATGCAAGTCATATGTTTAATGCTGAGTTAGGACTTGTTTGAAGAATGTTGTAGGGAATCAAAAGTGAAATGTATCTGAACTTATCTGACAAATTTATTGTTAGGCAACACCAAAAATTTGTGTTCACTTTGGGTATATTTTGTGTTTCTTGACGATATTTTTATCTGATTGTCGCGAAATTTTTAGATGATCATCTGAATATTGTAGATAGACAGGACCAGTGGTAGCTGAATGGTATGTTAACACTGGTCTATGACAACCTAATTCTGATTAGTGTTGACAGTAACTGAACATTCTGAAGCATTCACGACATGCCTCTGACTTTCTATTTGGGAATTATGAAGCTGCCAATTTGCAGATGTGACATGCTATGTTAGTTACTGGTGTTTTTTACTTGTTCCAGTGACCACCCTAAAGGCCTAAACCAATTGTGAGATCAGTAAAGAACACGAGTCCTTTTTGCTAGTTCAGCACTGTATATTTTGCAGTATTCAGTAATGCTTTTTTTTTTTTGCGACGATGCAGTATTCAGTTATGTGTAGTATTCAGCACTGTATATTGTGAGATCAGTAAATAACACAAGTCCTTTTTTGTTTGTTTGTTTGAATTTGTGGAAAATCCAGTCCTGTCTTTGCATGTTGAGTTAGGAATTCTCTAAAGAATATTGTAGGACATCAGAAGTTAAATATATATGCACTTAACTGACGAATTTTCGTGCTAGGCAACACCAGAAAAAAAATGTATGCACTTTGGGTATAATATATGTTTCTTGGCAGTAGGATTTATCCAAATGTTGTGCATTTTGTCGCCGACGAAGGCGACCCATGATTTAGCGGATCTTTTCTGTGCTGAATTTCTTACAGGCTCAATGAATTGGACAAAAGATTAGTGTGTTGGTTAGAAACGTAGAGTAAATTTTCAGTTCAGCCGATGCTGGCATACAGTTTTAATGTTTGCTTCTCAGTTTAGTGTGAAATTCAACATCTTTAACTTAGAATTACTTTTACTGTTTTTACTTGCAAGAGTAGTACTTCTTGTGTATCACACTAATTGCATGTTTTTCTTTTGCTATGGGTGCAGGGGATGATAAATTGTTGTCCTCAACTCTGACTGACGAGATGCAGCCAATGAACTCCATGGGGGCTGCTGGCTCCTCCACCGCTACGGGTGCTGCTGGCTCCAACCACACCGCCGATTCTACAGTTCCACCGTCGCTGCTGTCTTCAGAGCATCACCGCTCGACTGAGTCGGACCCGTCAGCTGAGCACGAGCGCCACGACATCACCAAGAACAACCTCAGTGGCGGCATGAGGGCAGTCGATGCCGAGGCCTCCTCTTCCTCAGCTGTGGACATGGCTAGCGGCAAGAGAGCCAAGGGTAAAGGAAGGATAAATACCGAAGTGGACAATGACAGGATGGTATTGTGGACTAATTTAGAGAAGGCAGAGGATGATCTTTGGCTCAGAGAGGAGCAGCTTTCAATTGAAAGATTAATTCTGTGTCAAAAAGCACTGGAGATGGAGGAATCTGAACGTGTTCACCGACGTATACAGAGCTGTCTTTTTCGCTGGAACACTTACGCTCTCTCGGGCAATGAAGATTTGTTGTCCCCGTTGATTTTTGCTCCAATGCCCAGGCCTGATAAAACTTCGACTCCCCAAATATTCAGCACTGAGAATACAGTTGTTGCTCCCAGTCCGACTGCTCAGAATACAAGTGCTGATGTCACAGATACGGTATGTCTCCTACTATGCATTGTTTTTATCATTAATGCTGGGACTATTACTATAGGGCAAAAAAAGAACAAAAAATTATTAGCATGAAAATAGTTGCTTGTTCTGCATTTTTTGCCTGCGAAAGATATTACACATTTGTTATTTTTGCATCTCAATCAATTCTACGAAAACTTTACACTTGCTACTGTTGTGCTTTAAGCAATGTTAACGATAAAGTATATAATGTTAATGTTTTCAGTACAAGCATATAATGTTAATGTCTATATACAGGGAGACAAGGACGTTTGGAATAAAAGACAAATTGGCTATGTCTACATATTGGGCACATCTTTAGCCGTGTTATTCTTTCTCCGGCCTCTGTTGCCCGCTGGTTATGGTATATGGATGCTTGCAGCATTTGCAACTATCTGGGGCTTCGGGAGCGTTGGTCTCCCTGCCGGGATGTTTGGGGAGAAGTTTCCAAAGATCTTCAGTCGGCATATGGGACATGTCCTGTATGCGGCCTTTTCAGTTCTAGTCATATACAGCATCTATCTTTTGGCACTGAGTACGCCAACTTCGCCATTGGCCCCTCCTCCACCCTCGTCACCTTTGGCCCCTGCAGTTCACGACAATGAGTTGTGGTTTTGGAGGTTGGTTTTTGGCTTCATTGGCAGTGTGGTGCTATTTGGGCATTTGTATTTGTGGGCAAGGGTAAGCAAATAATTAAATTCTCTCTTATCTATTCCTAGTTTCTATATAATGTCATGGTAGGTAGATAATAATACTGTATCATTATCATTAATTGTTAATGCAGAGCTGTTGTACGGGCGTTGATCAAGACCCGGACCTTTAGGAAATGGAATTGATTTTATCAGGTATATATAAACTCAATTTTTACAACTATGGGTACTGTATACATATTCCCTAGCTATCTCTAATTCCTATCCTCTGTTTTTTGGTTACTTTTTGGGGACAGGCAATATGTCGAAGATTCCTTCCAATAGCTGACAGATGGGTGTTTCTCGATCCCTTTCTTGATTTTGTTCATCCCAGACCCGTTTAGGCATGGTATACAACAATACACTATCCTGCAGTTTAGTGTGCTCTCTCTGTGACGGCTGTGTCGATCGTACCACTCTATATCCTGCTGTCAGGTGTTTTCCTCTTTTTTACCTGTGACAGATGGTGCATGCGTCATACGCTGTGGGATCGTGTTCCTTATGAGATTAACTATACACACTATTATGTGCGGTGTTTTCTCCCCTTGTTAATTAATTACCTGGCATGAAGAAATTTCTAACACATTGATACGATAAACAGATACATGATTGGTCCTAAAAAATCGAACAGATACATATTAGAACATAGAAAAGTTACATTATTTTACATGATTTATTTTAACGGACATACAAATCATACTTTTAAATAGATCTATTAGTGTAATTTAATTTTGTGTTTGTTTGAAGACTGAGACGAATCAAAGTAGGATTGGAATTTAGGATTGTTAGTATTTTTTTATAATTTTATATAACTCCACCTATTATGATCAAAGTTGAACAAAACCACATAAATTTTAGCATGTGACACATACCCAAAAATATTATGGTCCTAATATTTTTCAAAACTACATTACTAATTATTTTAACTTTGATCTACCACACTTTTGAGTTCTATAATCACATGTCAAATTTATGAGCATTTCATCCACCATATAAATGTTCCATCCACTTTATCAAATTTTGATACAAGAGTATATGTCAAAATAGTTAACAGTGCATTTTTTTTAACTTTAGGATCATAATAATTGAGTTATGTGCCACATGCCAAAATACCTGTGGGTTTTTGTGACTTGATGGGGTTATGAAATTTACTCTTCTTTTCTACTTGTAGTTGTATTCAATAGATGATTATAGATGCTATCTGGAAAAAATGTTTTCGATAAATGATAATTATAACGAACAACAAATCTAAAGATTTTTATAAAATTATTTTTTCATCTTTCTTTAATTCTTTTGCATGTTTTCCCCCTCTTTTTTCGATCGTCCTATTTATTTCTGCTTGTTCCAGCACGCGTGATTAGCTGAGGCAATATGCAACAACACAAATGTGCTAGGAATAAGTTCATCTGAGGTCTCTTAACTTGACAACGGATCTGATTTTCGTCATTGAAACAGAAAACAAGATACAACAGATCGCTCAACTGTCAAAACCGGTAGAATATACTCCCTCCGTCCCATAATATAAGCGTCACATCTCACCAAAATCCCTTATATATTGTGACGGAGGGAGTAAGTCGCAAGGCAGTAGGGTGAGTGATTTTGTTTTCCATGGCAATTTGCAATTTGACCCGAGTAACATCGCTGAGTTAGAGTGGGCTCCACATGTCAGCGATTCTTCACCTCTCTCTCCACCTATATCTCTCTTCCTGCCTTTTCCAATCTCAACAGACGGCGCACTGCGAGGAGGCCGGCGACGGGCTTTGAGGAGGACAACGCCCAGTGGCAGGCGGTGAGGAGGACGACATCTGTGACATGCTCTAGCTCGCCTCCAACACTGACCTCGACCCCATTTGTATCCGCCGCCGCTGGCTACTCATCATCTGAAGAGGCCGAGAGTTAGCAGAGGACCGGGATAGGGAGGGCGCCAAAGGTTGTTGACGGAGAGGTTGCAGCAAGCGGGAGCCGATGAGAAGATAAAGGCAAGGGAGAGGGAAGGGGAGCTGGCGAGCTCGAGCTCGCCATCCCGCCCGCCATCTTCCTTTCCCGATGTTGCCTTCTCGCTCCCCACCATTGGCTCATGGCGGTGTCACCGGAGCAATGTCTTCCCCGGGAGTGAGGTCCACCAGACGGAGGACACCAAGGCACCAAGTAGCGGGCCTCCAGGCTCCCGAGGCGGCGGATGGCCAGCCTCCAGATCTGGGCGGTCAAGCGGCGAGGGCACTAGGCAACGGACCCCCTCGGCTCCCGACGACGGCGGGCGGCCAGCCGCCAGATCCCTGGAGCGAGGACCTCGGCCCTGCGGACAACAGCATACTCGGCTTCTCCTTGTTGCTGCGGATAATGGAGTGGGCGCTGAGAGGAATACGACATTGTGCTCCCTGGTCTCGCCTTCCTTGTCCGCCTTGTCACCAGCGTTGTCAGGGTCACCCATCGTTGACGGCAACCATCGGCGTCCGTCCTCTATCGAGCTAGCTTCTCTCATCGGTCACCGTCCTCCTCACAACCCTCTGCCAGCGGCCGTGTTCCTCACCACCGAGAGAACATAGAGATATGACATGTGGGGCCCACACTGACTCAGTGCTGTTGAAATTGCCACGTAGAACAAAACCATTCACTATACTGACTTAGGACATATATTGCACCGGTTTTGATAGTTGAGGGACCCGTTGTATATGATTTTCTGGTTGAAGGACAAAAATCGGATTCATTGTCAAGTTAGGGACCTCAAATGAATTTACGACTCTAGCATGAACGGCTTGACTCTTAAGGGTTGAGGCCTTAATGGCCCAGCCGACCAGGCCCAGGAAGCATGATTAGGTTGCATGGTTCTTTCTTTCTTTTATTTTTTTTGGATAAGTTCACACTAGGACCTCAATTTGTCGTCCATTCTGATTTTCGTACTTAGTTCGAAAAACTGGAATACGACGCATCCTTCAACTTACAAAACTATGCAAGTGAGGTCCATCGGTAGTTTTAACCTAGTTTTAACTGATGTGGTGTCTATGTGGCTCCTTTGACTAGGCCTTCGTCCCACATGTCATTGACATGGTGCTTACATGGCAATTCGATTCCGAAAAATAATAATACCCGCGGGACCCACATATCAGTTACACACAAAAATTAAAAAATATATGGTGGGGGCACATATGGCCCCACATGTCATCTCCCTACTCCCTCTTCTCTCTATGTGCGGCCAGAGTAGAGGGGTGGCAGTAGGCGGCGGGCGGAGCAGCCATCTCCTCGCCTCTACCCGCCTCGCCCCAGTAGACGGCGGGGGGAAGGAGCAGCGCGCGGAGGTGGGGGAGAAGAGGAGCACGCGACGACGGCTGGGGAGAAGAGCGGGGGAGAAGAGGAGCGGCGTTGGATCGTGGGCAGAGCAGCGGGGCGGAGTGGATGGCCCGCGCGCCGGCCGGCGGGAGGAGAGGAGCCGCCCGTGGCCCATCGCTGCTCCATCCCTCAGCTCTGCCCGTGGCCCTCCCCTGCTCCGGCTGTCGCCCAACCAGCTTCACCGGGCGACCGCTGCTTTGCTTTGCCCGAGAGAGAGAAGAGGAGAGTAGTGAGGATGACATATGGGCCACAGTGGGCCCCGCTATTTTTTATTATTTGTGTGTGTAATTGATATGTGGGTCCTACGGGTTTTATTGTTTTTCTGGATTAAATTGACGCGTAAGTAACACATCAATACCACGTTGGATAAAGACCTAGTCAAAGTAGCGCCACGTCAGCCAAAATCAGAGAGTATACTACCGAGGGACCTCGTTTGCACGGTTTTATAAGTTGGGGGATGCGTCACATCCGGCTTTCCGAACTAAGGACGAAAATCAGAATGGTTGACAATTTGAGAGACCTAAAGTGAATTTATTCCTTTTTATTTTTCACGGTGTGACATCCGGATTATTGGAGAGAGTTCCCTAAACCACGGATCGACCAAATTGATTGTTAATTTAGTGCGCCAAGTGACCAATAGAAGTCCGGTAAAAGTGCATTAGCGTGGAGTAGGGAGTTCAACACGGAGACGATCACTAAGGAGCACGGGAAAGTTGTTCAACTCGATCCTGTTCCGAAACATACACGTAGGAACACGGTTAATTATCTTCCAATATATACATACACACTGCGTGTTTCGCGAGATCGATATGCGTATGCGAACGTTCGATCGATCCAGCTGTATTGATCCTCGATCGATCGCGAGCGATATATGGAGAAGGCCGAGGCCGATCTCATGTGCAGCTTGCTGGAACAAGGGCAGCTAGCCCCGGCACGGCCTGCAGATCCTCCGACGATCGAGAGACGAAAGCACCCTACTGCTCTTGCCCGAGCTGCCGCGAAAGCATTCTTGGTAAGTACGCTCATACCTCTTTCTCTATACATGCACTCCCTCCGTTCCCAAAAAAAGACAAACCCTGAGTTTCCGTGTTCAATGTTTAACCGTCCATCTTATTTAAAAAATATGAAAAAAATAAAAAGACAAGTCACACATAAAATATTAATCATGTTTTATCATCTAACAACAATGAAAATACTAATTATAAAAAAAATTCATATAAGACAGACGGTTAAACTTTAGACACGGAAACCTACGGTTTGTCTTTTTTTTTTTGAATGGAGGGAGTACACAACATGCACGAACCGTACCGGTCGAGATCGAATTTTATTATTGTTGCTTATTTTATTGTTGAATAAACTGTATTTTGGCCGTGCAGTTTTTGTTAACAAAGTTAATTCCACTTTAGACTACTTTCTACGTAATCTTTTCGTTTTCGACTAGGTATTTTTATATAATTTACACTTTGGACTACGCTTTTATCTTTATCTTCCGTCAGAGATGTTGCACATCAGTAGAGGAGATCGTTAATTAGGGTGCCGATGTGCTTAAAGGCTATTGTTGTGCTCGGGAAGAGCGTTTAGTGGTAAGAAAAAAAGAAATAGTAGAAGTATCTAATCCAAAGTTGAAAAGAATTAGATAAAGGCCGGGTGGCAAAAAGGAAATTCGGTAACCAAAATGGGCCAAATGTACGACTCGCTCTGATCTTTTTTTATTTGTTTTTCACTTTTGAGATCTATAAATCTTATATGGTTGAACCACATGCTCAACATGGCTAGACAAGAATGAGCTGGTGTGAAATTGAAGTCAAAGCCTTAAATTCTCTTTTACTCATATACATTTTACCGTTGTAATTTTGGTATGGACTTCTATTAATTAGTTGGAAGACTTAATCTTCTTAGTCATGTAATCAAAGAGTCATGTCCTTTCCCTCAATATTTTTGGATGTAAGCACATACAACCCATTAATTACAAAAATGAAGCACGGTGCTTCCGATGATCCAGTTGATCAACTATTGGGCCGCTGAATTAAACACGTTAGCGCGCCCGCATACAAATATATATACAATCAGTTAGATGCATCACTACGGGAGCAAACATGTTTAATTGGTTTAGTTGTGATTTTCGTTTTACAACTCAACGTAGCATATGTATATTTTTACATTATTTTCTAAAAAAATAAAACATGTATTTCTTAATGTAATCT